GACGCCGGTCAAACACGGCCTGTTTGAATTGATTTTCAGAGTCCTCTCCGCATAAACATCCTACTGACGGCTATGGACTATCTCAAGATAAGTCAGGACGTATAGTTTTTGCAGTCGACCTTTACTAAGCTGCTCCTTCCAAATCAGAGACGTAGCATAGCAGGTCGTCTGACGGGGAACAACTTACTGCTATTACATCAAAAACTCGTCAGCAGCTTCACTTCATCATCACACTACAAACATGGTGTAGACACACTTGCACACTGTGAGTCGACAAGACTGTCCCCTGTAACAAGTCAATCACCAAAGTCACTAAAGTCGACTATGGCCACATCCATCAGTACACCTATGATGGAATTTAACAAGAACAGAGACAACAGACACCACTGACTTTCATAACACCAGATGACAACTCTGCATAAGCCCTTACATAGACAGCTCAGTGTATTCGAGTAGTGGGTGTCGTGATTAGTTCAATGTACTTTCTCGGAACTGCCTTCACGGCCAGACATTGACGCAGCACCCTCACGTCAACGGAGTCGAATTCCGCCTTCAGATCAAGAAATATGGCCAGTGTTGGACGCCAGTTAGCATGCCTATGTTTCAGAATCTGTCAAAACGTGTGCATATAATCAACGAAATCTTTACCGGGCCTAAAACCTGCCTAGGTTTTCCGGGTCTGTTTCTCCTGAGCACCGCTCAGTCTGTGCAGGATTACTCAACCTAGAATTTCACATACTATCTTAGTCGAGTCAATCTCCCTATGATTATCACAGGGACATTTGTCTCCCTTCTTATAAACAGACACAATCAATTATTTGCAACAGTCCAGAGAGATTATCTCTGACTCCTAAACATCACCTAGTAGGCTTAGTTAACCTAGTCAATAGTTCATTACCAACATCCTCAAACACCTATTGAGTCACACAATCAGGTCGTTTCCTCCACATCAGTCTCCATACGTGCCACATTTACACTTTTCTGACTGACACAGCTTCCATACTTGGCCATTCAAGTCACCTGATGAAATGACTATATCTGAGTGATTCCCCTTCACAGCGGAAAACTAGACAGCTTTTGACACAACTCACTCTTTCCTTCATCAGAACTGCATTCCGTCACTGCATAAGTGAAGACTATGAAAGGACATTGAAGGGTATCACAATCCTTCTTTCTCCTCACGGATTCGTTCAGTCGGGCAGCACACACACAACCGTCCGCTGGAATACAATCAAGTGACGAATTCTTCTGTCCTATCGGTCAATGCTTCACCATCAAGTCGATGTAAACTAGCCGAATCATCTTCTGACACAATTGGGATGAATTTTGTAGATTTGACATGTTGGAAAGATGGCGTTTAGCGAATAACCACACTTCAGTCTTGTATGCGTGTCTCCGAAACACAACATACATTCATACTCCGACAATCTAGGTTCTGGCTAGTGAAGTCTGGCTTCCGATCGGTCATAAGATCCCGAAGCCGAAAGCTTCAGTATGAAGTTGGCAGTGTAGCTATAAGAGACTATCAGTGGTGTTTAGCTACCTCAGGTCGTTATCAATGGTCACAGTGTTGGGAGAAAGTGGAGAACTTACCTGTGAAACAGTATTAACAGTGACAGGAGAGCAGGAAGATGAAGGTGTGTGGTGATTAGTACAGCTTTGTGTGCCTATGGTTATTACTCTCTGGCTGCCTACACTGTACAAGTTGATTTCTTCTTAAAACAATTGAAACAGAAAGAGTATCAGTGCTGCACGACCGAAGACCTCAGGGGATGACTACTTGACGCCGGTCAAACACGGCCTGTTTGAATTGATTTTCAGAGTCCTCTCCGCATAAACATCCTACTGACGGCTATGGACTATCTCAAGATAAGTCAGGACGTATAGTTTTTGCAGTCGACCTTTACTAAGCTGCTCCTTCCAAATCAGAGACGTAGCATAGCAGGTCGTCTGACGGGGAACAACTTACTGCTATTACATCAAAAACTCGTCAGCAGCTCCACTTCATCATCACACTACAAACATGGTGTAGACACACTTGCACACTGTGAGTCGACAAGACTGTCCCCTGTAACAAGTCAATCACCAAAGTCACTAAAGTCGACTATGGCCACATCCATCAGTACACCTATGATGGAATTTAACAAGAACAGAGACAACAGACACCACTGACTTTCATAACACCAGATGACAACTCTGCATAAGCCCTTACATAGACAGCTCAGTGTATTCGAGTAGTGGGTGTCGTGATTAGTTCAATGTACTTTCTCGGAACTGCCTTCACGGCCAGACATTGACGCAGCACCTCCACGTCAACGGAGTCGAATTCCGCCTTCAGATCAAGAAATATGGCCAGTGTTGGACGCCAGTTAGCATGCCTATGTTTCAGAATCTGTCAAAACGTGTGCATATAATCAACGAAATCTTTACCGGGCCTAAAACCTGCCTAGGTTTTCCGGGTCTGTTTCTCCTGAGCACCGCTCAGTCTGTGCAGGATTACTCAACCTAGAATTTCACATACTATCTTAGTCGAGTCAATCTCCCTATGATTATCACAGGGACATTTGTCTCCCTTCTTATAAACAGACACAATCAATTATTTGCAACAGTCCAGTGAGATTATCTCGGACTCCTAAACATCACCTAGTAGGCTTAGTTAACCTAGTCAATAGTTCATTACCAACATCCTCAAACACCTATTGAGTCACACAATCAGGTCGTTTCCTCCACATCAGTCTCCATACGTGCCACATATACACTTTTCTGACTGACACAGCTTCCATACTTGGCCATTCAAGTCACCTGATGAAATGACTATATCTGAGTGATTCCCCTTCACAGCGGAAAACTAGACAGCTTTTGACACAACTCACTCTTTCCTTCATCAGAACTGCATTCCGTCACTGCATAAGTGAAGACTATGAAAGGACATTGACGGGTATCACAATCCTTCTTTCTCCTCACGGATTCGTTCAGTCGGGCAGCACACACACAACCGTCCGCTGGAATACAATCAAGTGACGAATTCTTCTGTCCTATCGGTCAATGCTTCACCATCAAGTCGATGTAAACTAGCCGAATCATCTTCTGACACAATTGGGATGAATTTTGTAGATTTGACATGTTGGAAAGATGGCGTTTAGCGAATAACCACACTTCAGTCTTGTATGCGTGTCTCCGAAACACAACATACATTCATACTCCGACAATCTAGGTTCTGGCTAGTGAAGTCTGGCTTCCGATCGGTCATAAGATCCCGAAGCCGAAAGCTTCAGTATGAAGTTGGCAGTGTAGCTATAAGAGACTATCAGTGGTGTTTAGCTACCTCAGGTCGTTATCAATGGTCACAGTGTTGGGAGAAAGTGGAGAACTTACCTGTGAAACAGTATTAACAGTGACAGGAGAGCAGGAAGATGAAGGTGTGTGGTGATTAGTACAGCTTTGTGTGCCTATGGTTATTACTCTCTGGCTGCCTACACTGTACAAGTTGATTTCTTCTTAAAACAATTGAAACAGAAAGAGTATCAGTGC